ATCATTCATTTATCGGTAGAGAGAGAGAGAGAGAGAGAGAGAGAGAATAGTAGCTCTGTTTTCATAGACTCATTGATTGCAAGAGAAAACCATAAATAATAATAAGAAGAAAGAAAATAATGGTATAGAAAGTTGTCGTGAATTCTGTGATATTGACCTCAAACTGGTTGCCAGTTATTAATGAAAGCAATAGAAAAAAAGTAAAAGTTTTTTGGGCTTTAAATTTAAAGAAACTTATGTATCGTTAGAAAAAAGTGTACACAAAAAGTATACACAAAAAAAATACAATTTTTAACATTAAGACTATTGAACCTCTAATTAAAACTTTAATGATATTCAGCGACTGTTTTTTCAAGGCATCAATTTTTGTTGGGTATTAAAAATCAGATAAAAATTTTAATTTATATGTCTTTTAATGAATTATTTATTACTTTGTTTTTGATATGATATCATGATATACTTCTCTCTCTCTCTCTCTCTCTCTCTCTCTCTCCAGAATTGTGTGTTGTTTTCACAAAATAGTTATTTACTTTATAATTGATAATTAATTCAGACATTAATTTGTTATTTGAACCAAATTGATCTCTAGATAAATAATATCTTATTTTAAACAAAAACTATTGTTTACTTTGTTTTTAAAATATTGATAACAAGTATCTAATATAGAAAATCGATATTTGTTTAAAAGATAAAACATTTCAATTTCAATGTTAAGTAAACGATATATGAAATGAAAAACGTTACTTAAAAAGCCTTATATAAACCTAATTTAGCACCTATTGTGGCAATTGCTAAACAAATAAACACACAATACATTGAATAACTGTTTATTACATTACAATTAAAAAAAACCAATACTTTATTTGACAGGACGTGCGGCTAAACATATGGTACCTGTATTTCACGTTGAGCAAAGCGCTAGAGCTATTTGACACGCTATTCATCGTGCTGAGAAAACAAAAACTGATCACGCTACACTGGGTGCACCACGTGCTAACGCTAACCTATTCGTGGTACGTGATAGGGGACGTGCCGGCCACCGCCCGTTGGATGGTTAACATGAATTTCATGATCCACTCAATGATGTACACGTATTACGCGCTGCGGGCCATGCGTTTTGCAATACCCCGTGTGGTCAACATTACCATCACTTCCCTGCAAATCGCTCAGATGTTCGCCGGCCTATTCATCAACTACTTGGCCCTTCACTACAAGCTGTCGGGCATACCGTGCGATCTGTCCCGCAAAGTGGCCGTCTTTGGCTTCTCCTTGTATTTCCTGTTTTTCCTCTTATTTATGAATTTCTTCATCAGAACCTATATATTGAAGTCGTCGCCAAAGAAGCAGATCCAGGAGAAGAGGGACTACAAGTCCATCTGTAAGCCCGACCACAACCAGAATACGAGTTTCAAGAATCATAATAATAGTAATCACTATATGAATGGCTTTAGTAATGGAAACTCAAAGAAGTCACTCTAACCACGAGTGTTTTAATTATTGTCACAATTATTATTATTATCATTTAGACAATCAATGCATACAAACATATGATTTGTAAAAATTATTTTTTCTGTATAAAAACGTATTGATATTTTTCATGTTAACAATGTTTGAATGAATTAACGCTTTTTTACCTTAAAATACATAATTTGTCGTATATTTTCAGTTAAAAACAAACACAATCCCTATTATAACAGCGCCTATAATAATAATGATTGTGTTATTTTTTACCACGTATTAAATTCTGGCGTTATTTTTAACATAAAATAATTGCCCAGGATATTTAATGAGTTTTGTATTATCAATGCTTTATATTTATATAGTTAGACACTCTTATGAGTTGTCTTTTAAGCATATTTTTATTTTATAATTAATATCAAGAAATAAAACTCTAATGAAATATAATATTTAATAATATAAGTTACAAGAAAATACAGTACAAGACTGCCATTACAAGTGCCTTATATAATATAAGTTATATTATAATTAATTGATTGCCATTGAAAGCCATTTGTTTCAACTAATTATTGATTTAATTATTTACTATTTATTGGGATTTATGTAATTCTGTGACTTTATAAATATGTAAACTTTTATTCTAGATACTTTTTTGTATAAAAATAAATAGCATTTTTGATTGCAATTATGGGTGCTTTAAATTATTTATCTATTTTAGTGTTATTTAATTAAATATAAAGTAATTAAAGTGTATCAANATTTATGAGATAAATGTATGAATTCTATTGAAATTCTGTCAAAAATTTACATTTAAAGGAATTTTCCGTTTTTCCGACAATTTTCTCATAATAAATGATTTCTAAAAACTTATTATTAATAAGTTATTAACATTAGGCTTGTTAATTAACTAGTTTGAAATCGTTACCATAAGTGACTATCCTCACTACCTGTACAATAACCTGTACCTATCATACAGTATATGCCGTAAACATATTATGCATGCATTTTAATGGCTTTACGTTTAGGACTTTGATTTAATTAATGGTTTCTTTGTTTACAATTCATGACAACTTTTGTATATTAGATGTAATTCTGGGGAAACACTGAATTTGCGGTCACTTTCCGCCTATTCTCTCAACAAATATATACTACGTTAAGGAATATTGACTATAATATACATAATTATCTAAATTCCCCTCAAATAAATTAAATTCATTTTAAAAGCAATTACAAAATAACAAAGAAATATTTTCAAAACCACATTTATTTTATCACAAATGCCTCTCTCTCTCCAGAATTGTGTGTTGTTTTCACAAAATAGTTATTTACTTTATAATTGATAATTAATTCAGACATTAATTTGTTATTTGAACCAAATTGATCTCTAGAGAGGCATTTGTGATAAAATAAATGTGGTTTTGAAAATATTTCTTTGTTATTTTGTAATTGCTTTTAAAATGAATTTAATTTATTTGAGGGGAATTTATATAATTATGTATATTATAGTCAATATTCCTTAACGTAGTATATATTTGTTGAGAGAATAGGCGGAAAGTGACCGCAAATTCAGTGTTTCCCCAGAATTACATCTAATATACAAAAGTTGTCATGAATTGTAAACAATGAAACCATTAATTAAATCAAAGTCCTAAACGTAAAGCCATTAAAATGCATGCATAATATGTTTAAGGCATATACTGTATGATAGCTACAGGTTATTGCACAGGTAGTGAGGATAGTCACTTATGGTAACGATTTCAAACTAGTTAATTAACAAGCGTAATGTTAATAACTTATTAATAATAAGTTTTTACAAAACATTAATTACGAGAAAATTGTCGGAAAAACGGAAAATTCCTTTAAATGTAAATTTTTGACAGAATTTCAATAGAATTCATACATTTATCGCATAAATAAAACTATTGGAATATTTTTTGAAAAGTTCTTGACATGCGATCAGATATTGTATAAATATTTTAAATTAAATTCAGTATCCATTTGAACATTAAATGTAAACATCAGTTATAATAACAACAAACACCCAAAAAGTATGAAACAAATGCATACCTCATAATAGGAAGCGTCACAAAAGGATGCGGTGAAGCCTTTTGTATATAAAATGTGAACAAATTCTGGTAGACATCGGACGACACCAACGATCGAGAAGATGGAGAGAAATATATTCCAAGCGCTCAGATATTTGCGTAAATCGTAACCATTGTTACGGAAACTCATTAAATATTTGGTACCAAAAATGACAATAATGTAAGCGATGGACAAATGG